TGACTGTCTCCATTGGCTCAAAAAGAGGCAGGTCACTGAGTGAATTTGGGATTTTAATTTTACGACTCATCTTTTGAGCCGTGCTCGTTGTAGCGGTTGATAGAGTCTGTTTCTCTCTTGATCTCTGCTGATTACATATTTTCTTCTGAATGATATCTCTCACTTCTAATATGCTACTACTATTCAGAGTGACTAATTGAAGTCCTTGGTCAGATCTGTATCTGGATATCAGCTTTAACTGTATGTCTGCCATACTGAATTCACTTTCTCAGGCACAGGGCATCATCAGACATTCGGGTGGTTGTATTTCCACAGCAGACAATATAAGAAGAGGCAAAAGTGAGTAGATGCCACGTTCTTGGCTCTTGTTGATTTTTTTTTTTTTAATTTTATTTTTTTTTACAACATACAAGCTTCAAGGCAGAGATATTTTTTTCTAAAGGCCATCTGGTCCAACTTCTCTGCAGTGAACAGGGACACCTATGTCTCCATCAGGTGCTCAGAGCCCTGTCCAGCCTGACCTTGAGCGTCTCCAAGGATGGGGCATCCACAACCTTTCTGGGCAACCATTGTATGCCATTGTTGTTATGCATTGGCTATAATGTTGTAGTATGTAATGTACTGTAGCTTGACCTAGGTTGTGTAGGGGGGAAAAAAAAAAAAGACAGGTGATTAAAGAAAAAACTGTGTGAGTACGGAGAACTATTAGTGAGGGGCTTCTCAGAGATGAAGGAGGATGAAGGTCACTCCTGGTTTCCTGTGGCCAGAGGGTCTGACCCAAAATCTGCTCTCTGGTGGGCACTGGCTGCTCAGTCTGCTGCGCTCTACTCCATGTCTACCAGCAGAAATGAAAGAAATCCAAAAAATAAGTATTGAGGGCACAGCTTGCACCCCTCTAACTCTTGGGAGTGCAGAGATGATGGGGCAGGGCAGGAGAGGCCAGCTGGATGTCCCACTTCTGGTAGGGCTTTGGGGGGATGCTGTGGTATCAGGGGCTGATGCTAATATGGGCATGACCCAAAAGACTGTGCCAGAGACCTGCAGACCACTGTGGGTTGGCAGATGGGCTGAGTGTTGTCCTCCCTCATCCTGGGATCTGCTGTCTACACTTGAAGATGCAGCTTGAGCCTGGGCTCACAGCTTGCTGGCCACAGTGCAAGGCCTTCCTTCCAATATTGCCCCGAAACATACCCATGTTCCTTTCCAGTGCCATTCCCCAAGCTTCTCACATCCAGCACCTGTGTAGAACCAAGCTGGAGGTGTCCTGGACTCCCTTCCTGCATGGGACATGAGCCTCCAACCAAGTGGCTTGGCCATCCTGGGACTCGAGGGGCATAATTAGAGAGATCACAATTAACAAGCAGTGCAGCATGAGCAGCAGAGAGGAGGGCTGGTTGAGGCAGGATGCCTGAGCCGTCCTCCGGCGGCAAAGTGCTGAGACAACAAACTTAACCTCTCTGTCCACAGTGCTCCTATCAGCCATGGTTATTAAATCCCACAAAAGGAAGAAGAGGAGAAGTGAATAGGGTTGAAAGAAAAAGCACTTTCCCCATTTGGATTACCTCCTACAGAACAGGACCTGCCACTGAAAGGCAGAGAGTGTAATTGCTGGCCTGAAAGACGAAAGGGGGGGAGGGAGAAGGAAAAACTATAAAAGGGAAGAAAGAATGAAGGAAGGGGGTAAAAATTGATAATGAACAATTTATCCTCTGAGCTAACGGTTAATTAATTCTGAAAATATCTGCCAGCCTCATGGGGGGGGGGGGAGGAGGAGGAGGAGAGAAGGCTGTGCAACTGAACACAATTAGTAAAATAATAATAACAAAAAAGGGGGAAAAAGGAGGAAAAAAAATATTCTTTTTAAGGTGTTGCTATCTTCTTAGAGACCAGGCCCTTGGCTTCCCAATGTCATTCTCAACACAATTTTTTTTTTTGCTTCTCTCCCTTCGTCTCTTTTCAGAAATTGTTCTCATGAATGATTTATATATGTCTAGTTATCTGGAGTGATTTCTATGGACCCGGGCGCATTGCTGCATAATTGTTAATTTTAATGCCATAATAGCTTCAGATGGAGGAAGAGATTAGGCGTTTATTGCACAATTAAATGAAACATACTTGAGAATCACAAAAGGTTCCGTAATTATTTCAGACCATTAATAAAATGGGCATTAAATTATATGGGACACAAAAGGGAAAGGAAATAGATTTTCATTACAGCAATAGAAGCCGAGAGTAGTAATAGATCCTTGTTGAATTCTCTTTCTCTCTCTCTCTCTCTGAAATTAATTGTTGCCCGGCTTATTTCAAAGCAAAATAAAAGAGAAATAAAGTGTGTTAAAGAACCTCTGATGAAAGGGCTTTGTTTGATAAGGACAATAGCCAGTGATACACTCTGGGAAAAAAAAAAGAAGGGGGGAAAATAAAAAAAGAAGGGAAGATTTGATTTTGGCTTCTTGCCCTCAGTCCCAGAGGCAGCACGGGGGCTCCATGCACTCACATCAGGACCTCTCCTCCCATTAGGAACAGAGGGGAGGGAACAGGGACCTGGAAAGTTCCCCATCTGCTTCCTGAGCGCTGCCGCGGTGGCTTTGGGCAGAAGTTCTGCTGATAGAAGTGCTGGAGGTGTTTGGGCCGTTTCTATAGGAAACCACGTGTGATGGATTTGTCTTGGACAAAAGACCCAAGACACAGAAGGGAGCTACAGGTGGGTGTCCTGGTGCTCAAAGCCCAACCTGCAGCCCCAGCAGTGTCTGGAGACCTTTGTCACAGCATGGGGACTCCACGGGGACAGGGAAGGCGGTGTTTCAGGGCTCCTCTTGCCCCTGGCAAAGCTAGCATGTAGGAGTTGGGACCTGAATGACACCCAGACTTTGACTCTGGGTTCGGATAGGTCCAAAAACCCTCTGGTGCAACAGGAGTGCAGCAGCTCTCACCCTTATTGCCAACAGCAGTTATTTCCAATGGCAAAAATGAGGGGGAACAAATAATGTCTTACAGTGAATTTTAGAGCTGGAGAAAGTTCCTCTTGAAAGTGCAGGAAACCCAAAAATGCAATGAAAAGCAGGCAGCCTGGAGCTGGAAGCATGCTAGTTAGTCTATTAGCAGCCTGCTAAAAGCATATTCCCTAGCATGAGTTGCACAGGGATGTATGCAGATGGGTCTTGAATACCTCCATAGGAGGACATTCCACCACCTCGGCCTGTTGCAGTGCTCTGTCACCCTCACAGTAAAGTTCTTTCTCTTGTTCTGATGGAACTTCCATATTCCAGTTTGTGCCTGTTGCTCCATGTTCTGTCTATGGGTACCACCAGTAAGAGCCTGGCTCCTGGCCTTTAGATATTCATAAGCACTGATCAGGTTCCCCTCTCTGTCTTCTCTTTCCCAGGCTGAACAGCCCTATGGCTCTCAGGCTTTCCTCATAAGGCAAATGAGATGAAATGCAATGCAATAAAGATGAAATGAATAAAAATAAAACAACTCCCTCTCCCCCCTGCTATGTGCAGGGTCACCAACCACCAGACCAGGCTGCACAGAGTCAAATCCAGTGAAAGACAAAGTGAAAATGTTCTGACAAAGACAAGTTTGAAATATATATATATATGTATATACACCTGAGGAAAGCAGAATATCCTCCAGCACCTCCCAGCTGAATTTGGGCAGACAGGGAATCCTTCACCTCCTGTTGCCTGCATGCAGGCATCACGAAGAGATCTGAAACAAGGAGAACCTGGAGCCAACGTACAGCCAAGCAAGGGTGCCTCCTCCCTGGAGAAGCACTGCACTCAGAAACTGAGCTCTGCTGACGCAGCTCAGACGCACGGCAGCTATTTTTAGGCTCCATGCAGTGTTTTACTCCCAGAAGCACAGGGTCTGCCTCCTTCCATTGGCACTGGGGAAGCGACGGTTGAATGGATGGGGGGGTTTGGGTGCTGCGGGTGTGGGAGAAGGAGGTGTGGGGGGGGCATGGGTGTATGGGGAGAGCACTGAGCACCCCAAGCTCTGGTGATGGCATTGGGCCCGGAAAGAGAATCTGCAGATGAGAAGTTCAGTGTGGGAGGGAAGAAGGAGAGGAAATAAATGGAGAAAAAGTTATTTTTTATCTTGGGGAGGGGGAGGAATTAGAAAAAAAAAAAAAAAATTAAAAAAAAGGGAGAAAAATACAAAAAAAAAGCGGGGGGAAAGAAAAGAAAAGAGGGGGTTGGAAGGGTGAATGCTCATCCACGGGGAGGAGCCGGAAAAGAAAAAAATAAATGAAAATGCGAGTAGATGGAGGCTGCAGTGAGGAGCGCTGGGCTGCTGCGCCACTGCCCTCTCCTGGGCAGAGGGAGACGAACAGAGCCGGGCTGGGTGACAAGCATGAAGCCCTACACTGATCCGGTACAAGGAGAGAGAGGGAACGGGGGCTTACGGCGAAGAATAAGAAGCTAAAAGGAGACTCAGGCAGGAGCGGAGGGAAGAAAGTCTTAGGGAGATGAAAGAAGGTCGGCGTTATAGAGAAATAAATAAGAAGATAAAATAAAACACGAACAATACAAAGTATTAAAGAGTCTCTAAAAAGGACGAGGAAAACAGGCTGAAGTGCAGCAGGAGATCAGCCGTGTCACCCAGATGGAAATAAATAAGAAGAGGACTCGAGACATGGAGTCAGATGGATTTTAATGTGAGGGACGTCCTCCTTCTGCCATGGTATGAGCAGGAGGAGTGGGAAAGGAGCAGCCCTGAGAATGCTCTGGGGCTGAACACCCTCAGAGCAGGGACCAGAGGCATCCCAGCACACAGGGCATCCTTGCTCCACACTCTTGTCACACAGCAAGCTCACGTTTTATCTGTGTATGGGAACTGTTGAGTCATGGCCTGACCCACTGATTGAGCACCCAGGGAAAGGAGCCGGTCAACCCTGGGAGCACAGGTGAAGGCAATTCAGCTGTGTGACTGGAAGGGGTGGAGCCTGGCTGCACCTCTCTTAGACCTCATTTAAGGGCTGGCTGCCACTAGGGAAGGATCTCTGGTTGGAGATCCCTCCCTTGTGGAGTTTCTGTTGCAAGCCTAGATCTTCAGAGACAGGTGAGCAGTTTTCTTTGTAACACCTTTCCTTTGTGCTGGTCCCTTTGTTGTTATGCCTCTTGTATCACTGTTCCATCACATTGATCTTGCTGGTTGTTACAATCTGTTATTAACTCTTTCCTGTGTCTCCCTTATGTCCTCCCTGGGGAGCCTGTGGCTGCACACTGTGAGCTCTTAGTAGCAGGAGGTAATGTGGGTCTACTGGGCATAGCAAGAACCAGCCTGAGTTTCCTTGGTGAGCAGGGAAAAAGCAGGAAAGCAGTTCCCACCTCGCTTGTCCCCACTATGCTTTAAGCTTTAAGTACAGGTTTTCAAGACTTCCATGCATATACAAGCAGGAAACATGCTGCCTCTCGTATCCCATGGGGTATGGAATGTCCCAGCCCTAAGGCAGCTCTGCACCCACCACGCAGTGACCAGTTTAACAGCAGGAAAGCCACAGCTTGTCAGCTTCACCTGCTGCAGTGGAAAATCCATGGAAGACTCAGGTGTTTCTGCATTTGCTCCCATGGCCAAGGGAAAGGCCCGATTCCCATGCCCCTCATGGGCATCTTGTTTCGTTCTGCTTGTGCCCATTGGAAGTGGTCACCTTCTCTTGGTGATTACTGCTGGAGATGTGATCTTGTAGAGAGCAGAAGCCCATGGTCCTGGATCCAGTTTGGTCTGGCATCCTCAGCACTGAAACAATGTTCCCTACGGTTCAGAGATCCCATCCTGGCTAATGCAGACTGGGTTGCCTGCATCTTTTGGTTGCATACCAGGTTGGGTATTAGGGAGAAATTCTTCTCTGAAAGGATGTTGAGGCATTGGCATGGGCAGCCCAGAGAAGTGGTGGAGTCTCTGTCCCTGGAGGTGTTCAAGAAAATGGTAGCTGTCACACTGAGTGATGTAGTTTAATGGACATGGTGGGCACAGGTTGATGGTTGGACTTGTTGACCTTAGCAGTCTTTTCAACCTTAAAAATCCTATGATTCTTTTAGGGACACTTCTGGTTGTACAGAAATAAGGAGATCGGATAGACCTTCTGGACCAAAGGAGTAGTTGCTTTGTTTCCAGTTGGATTCAGCTACATTTGAGCACAAAGATCAAATTTGAAGGCAGCCAGGCTTGATTAGCCACTTTTGGATGGGGGGGGTCAGAGAGGGGAGAGCTTTTAGCAGTGATTTGCAGTCTTCTAATGAAAGCTTTGGGATTCCTCTCTACTTACCTGTCCTCCAATGGCTGCATTCCCAGGCAGAGCACCCCAACCTCTCTCCCTCCATAGGGTTTCCCTGCTGGCTGCCCTTCCCCTGGTGCTGATCAGTGAGGCAGGCTGCGATCTGGTCCTCTCACTCCAATAGCACAGAGCTATTTCAGAGCAGCCAGGACCTGCCCATGCTGCACCCCGTGGGAGTGAGGGTGTTTTATAAAGGCATTCTATGGCATTCCTCTTTTCCTTCCCCCTCTTTTCCTCAGGCACGGTTCCAGATCTATTTCAGATTCCAAAAGGTGGAATATTGCTCGTGCTTTGGTTGTTGTTATTTTTTTTAATGGAAAATTTCCACAGGAGAAATATTCCTGTTTTGCAAGGGAAACAGAAAATGCATTTGCATCCTTGAAATTTGCTGCATTAGAATAAGAAGTCCTTCCAAGGGAATAGGGCTTGAAATACAAATGTTGTGTGACAGCAACAGGGAAAGAGGAGGTGGGGGGAAAAAAAAAAAGGGACAGCATCTTTGCAAACCCTTGCCTTAGAAATTAGGCAAGTTCTCAAGGGGAAAAAACAAAACAAAACAGGATGCCATTATAGTATCAATCTAGGGCTATATAAGTTAACCCCAAATCTTGGAGAAAGGACAAATGTATGAAAAGCCACTCTGACCAGAGACATCATAAGCCTTCGTGCTGGAGCCACCAGGTTGACTTGGCTGGGGGAACTCACCCAGGAGTCCTTTCATTTCAAACAGGCTCTGCTTGTCCTCTCCAGTTAGTGCAGAGGGATCAGCTCCCAGGAGCAAAATAATGGGGTCAAGGTGCTGAATTCCCTGGAATTCTGTCCTCCCTGTGCTCTTGGGTGTTCCCATCCTATTTTGGTTCTGATCCTGTGGTCTTGCCCAGGAGGAGTGTATGCATGTGACCCAGACAGCCCAACACAGACCTGGCAGGCATTACATGAGTCAGAGGGAAGGGCTTTGGGCTGCGATTCCTGTCAGTAAGCGATCAAATGCTCAACCAGGACTGACTAAATGGAAAAGAATCCTGAGCTGTAAACTGGTGAAAATAGTCTGCTCACACACGTGTTGGGACAGTTGTGGGGATAGGCTTGGCACAGCCAGGCTGCCTTCCCCCAGGGTTCATCAGCACCTTCAGCCCTGTGGGAGCTGTGTGCTGGGATGCTTCCAACACCAGGAGCTGGTGAGAAGGAAGATTTCCTTCTTCCTCCCCTTCCCCCCTCTTAATATTTGGAGTCTGTTTTGGGAACCCAGCTCTGAAAAGCAACGTATGTGCAGAAATGAAACTGAGCTCCACTTTGTCTTACTGGGGAGACTCTTCACTTTGGGGCCCCAGCTTCACACACAGTGGATGTCCTCCATACTGAGAGGCTTGAGGAGCCAGGGCCCCTTCTGATGGCACTCAGCTGTGACCCAGGGACTCCAATGGATGGAGAAATGAGCGATGCTAGCAGAAAGAGAGCAGAATGAGCTCCAGACTGAGGAAGTGATGTGTCCTTACGTTGTTGCTTGTACCACAACAGCCTCAAGGGAGGCACTAAGCTCATGTACAAAGCTACCTTTATTCTGGTAAAACTGTGCAACAGCAGCTGCTTTGGTCTTAAAACCTGACATTTTGAGTTTAGAGCAGGTAACCTCCACAAGTCCCTTCCAACCTAAACCATTCTGTGGTTCTGTGATACCAGTGCAAGAAGCCATGTGAAAACCAACACCAAGTAGGGCTGCCATGGGAGAGGAGCAAGCAGCTTGGTAAAACAGCAGAGTGGCCTCTCTGACCCATGTTTGGTAGGGCTGGGAGATGGTTTGAACTCCAGAAGCCATCAGATCCTCAGGATCTCAATAGAAACAGAGCATCAGAGGGGAACTGAGATGCTTCTCTTGGATAAAGGCCCTGGGCTGGGTTTAAATGCATGGGGCAGCCTGATTTCAGTCCTTCCTGGGGGAGGTGATGGCTGGGGGGTTATCAGCATGCCCTGTGTTGGAGGAAGTGTGAAAAGTCAGTGCTGTGCACAATGCACTCATTCTCTCTCCTCACCCTGCAAATTTGTCACTGTTGATTAAATCCCTTTTCAGAGCAGAGTGTTACAAGGCTCCTACACGCTTTCCCAGGCGAAGACCTCTCTGCTCCTTCTGCATTTTCATTCTCATGTTGGCCTCTGCCCACTGAATAACAACAGTAATTGGATGTGTTTGAATAGTGCTGCTCATTGTTTGGCTGGTAATCAAACAAGTCTCCCATCCCCTGCAACCTGACTGTGGTGGAGAAGTCCAGACACAGCACCTCCTTCTCCTCCTCTCTTTCCACCCACATCCCCTTAACTCTCCATTTATATACAGTGCAAATTGCATTCTAACAATAACAAGTTTTCTCTCCCTCCATGACCAGTGGGATCCTGGATGTCCACTGGGACAAGCATGAGATGCTTATTTGTTAAGGCAGACTTGCAGGGGCTCAGATAGAACAGTGATGCTGGTCCTCTGTGCTGCATAGCTTCTTGGTGACCAGGCCTGAAGCTGTTGGCTGTATGAGGGATATATATACCCATATATTTACCCAGGAACAGAATGTATTGCTTTGGTATGATGGTTCACAGAGATTCATGAGGACCTCTATCCCCACTCGTATGTACGTTGGTTGGCACAGCTGCACATGGAAGTGGGGTCACCATCCCTGGAGGTGTTCAGAGCCATGGAGGTGTGGCATTGAGGGATGTGGTCAGTGGGCATGGTGGGGTGGGCTGGGGTTGAACTTGGGGATCTGAAGGGCCTTTTCCAATGTTAAGGATTCTATGTTTGTGAGAGCTGTGAGGGATTCCTGCCTGGCAGAGTATGCTTGTGCTGTGCATCTCCATGGTCCTACTTCTTCACTCCCATCTCTCTCTAAAAAGGATTTAAAAACAAAAGAAGTCTCATCACCAAGTGGGGCTCAGAAGCAGTAGCAAACACCCTGAATCACCAGTCAGGTGGAGGTACCAGACCTGAAACAACTACTTGCTGACAGCCCATTGGCCACATGCGTTCATGTGAGCTGTGCCACGTCTCTTTATTATGACTAATAGACACTCTTGCAGAAATCAGAATCTATTTCCAAGTGATTCATGAGAGTGTAGGAAAAGGAAGGAGGGGTGAACAACAGACTGAATGCACCTGGTAATTTATTTGCTATGAATAATTTGAGCAGCCTCAAGTGACGGAGATATCTCAGTTATTTATCCTGGGGGTGAAATTTGCAGGTGCTGCAGACTGGGTGTGCTCCAGAGCAGGCCCTCCCTTAAACGTTTGCTTTCCCCCACCCCTGTATAAACCCCTGTGACTGTATCTGGAACAAGATATAAGGCATGCTTCATCCAAGCCTTTTGTTAATTGCAGTTTCTGGAATCTCCTGCTGGCGAATTTATTCCCCACAAAATCCCTATCTGGAGGGTTAGGAAAGGGTTAGCAACGTGCCTTCCCATTTGGGGTGAGTGGTTGAAAAATAAAGCTTGCTTCCATCTCCCAACCTTGTGAAGAGCCAGTAGCTGCTGGAGAGATGGGCTCCGTGCAAGTTGAGTGGGAGGCATTGCTCTGCTGTGGGCACTGGTGGATGTGCCAAGTCCTGCCCTATGGGGTGGATGCTGGAGGAGACCCTCTGGCTGTTCCTCTTGCCTGGGCAAGGGTGGTTGCCCTCGGGGTGGTGCGAGAACAATATCTGGGCCCTGGCACGACTGCATCAGTTGCTACAAGAGCTGCTGCAAAACTAATGCTTCCTATTTAATTATGTTGGCCCACAGCATCATAGGCAGGTGTTGGTGGTATGGCAGTAGGGGTTGCACCTTCCCCACCCATATGTTAATCACTAGTGAAAACGCAGACCTAAAGGTGGTGACTATGTGGAAAAACAGTGTTTTGTAGCTGAGAACTTGCTCTTGCAAGTGGTGTTATTTGTGGCTGCTGTCTTCTGCATGGAAATAAATAGGAGGCATTACTTGTGGAGCAACCTACATCAATGCGGGCGATGACTCCTCCATAGCTCACGTTCTGTGTCACCATATTGTAACTGTAGGGTTTTGTCTGCTGGCACCACAGGATTCTGATGCATTTCATTATTTTTTTGTGTTAAAATTCAGAAATACTTTTCCATCAAATATCTGTGCATTTGTTTCCAGAAACAAATGATTAGCATTAGTATTCATTAGTATTCGTGTTAACAATTGATAAAGGACCCACTACTGTAGTATCTGAGCATAACACACAAAATTCAATTAAAAATATAATAATTTCCTCCAGCCATGATCATAAAATCTGTACCATCCCCCCCCAAACTACTTCCTGAAACTTCCCTAAAGTTGGGTTTGCTGTGTGGGGATGCATTTGCCAAGGAGGCTGAGGCTGGAGTTAGGATGCTACAGCATAATGAGTGGGGCTGGGCTGGGCAGGGTGGGAGAAGGCACACAGCAAACAAGCCAGGAACACTTTTTGCAATACCAGTTCCTGTTTCTAGTCGTTGTATCTATCTTGCAGCAGTTTTTCTGTCCAAGTAAGGCTACGTCCTCCATCTAGGCTGGGTGGTTCTCCTGCTGTTGCAAGGCATTAGAGATCATCTCTACCAAACCACTTCACTGATGTGCTTGATGTGTTTTGGGGTCCAGCAGTGACTTTTTTTTCTTTCCTTCCCCCCCTACTGGCTCTGTACATCAGTTTCACAGCCTGACTGGGCAGGAGGTTCGTATGATGCCCAGGGAGGATGCTCATGGCATGGCTGAGGGCCACAGCCCTGCTGTTCCAAAGGAGGAACAACTTCTGCAGCCCAGGAGTGAATGCTGGAGACCTCCCTTGTTACTGACGGGGACCCATCATCAATGTCCCCACCAGAATGTGGCATCTGAGACAGCAGTCCTGTGTGAGCTCTGGGCACTGTTCTGACTGTTAAGATTTTATTTCACCACATCAGTCCAAAGCTGTGTTTGATAGATGGCAACTGCAGCCACTGGTCTACTGAGGGTCTTGGATTTGAGGTGAATGAGCATCTACTGATCTGCTCTTATTGCCATGGAGCATCTCTGACTACTGTGGTCATCTCCAGCAATTTGGAATCTAAACAACACATAAAACCTCCCTGACTGATCTGGAGGCTACCCAGATTATTTTGGATCACAGAATGGATGATTTCTTCAGGGCTCTGACGGACAACGCTTGGCTATCAGTGTTCTTAGAGCCCAGTATTTGCAGTGGGAGTGTGTCACTGGCAACAAATGGCCTTTGGTGCTTACAGTATCGCAACCCACCTCTGTAGCTTCACCTGGAGATGCTGAGAACAGTTGTGTGAATGGGGAGAAGAGGTATGGAGTCTTTGTAGCAAGAGAAATTGTCTGCTGTTTGGATCTTTGATGGATCTTAAGTGTTATCTGCTCACAGCTTTGCACTTAGAGCACTTCAGTTGAACATATTCACCCATCAGTGCATGTGGGAAGGGCAGGGAGGGAATTACCTGGTTCTTGTTTGATGCCTTGAAAGGGGTAGATGTGACACGTGGAAATGTGGTTTAGTGGGCATGGTGGTGATGGGCTGATGGTTGGACTATGGGATCTTAGTGGTCTTTTCCAACATGAATGATTCTGACCTGGTGGGGGGACAGCCCATGGCAGGGGTTGGAACTAGGTGGGCTGTAAGATCCTTTCCAACACAAATCATTTTGTGATTCTATGATTGTTTAACTGCTTGAGAATAATAGCAGGAAAATAAAACTTTTGAGCATTTGTTTGCAGAAAACAGCTGCTGGATCTGACAGAGCATCGCATGTAGCTTCGGACTGATGTCAGTAACCCAGAAGTTCTACTGCTGAGCTCATCCCACAAGCTGAGCCCTGGTGGTCAGTTCCCTCCCCACCTTGAGCCCCTCACCCAGCCCTTGTACAGCCCCCCTGTTTCTCCATGCCTAGCATGTCATTAAGGACAACCCTGCTTCCTGCAGCAGGGAGGAGGGCTGCATTACCACCAATGGGGTGTCAGGCTCCCAGCAAGGTCTCAAGGTAAACAGTTCAGCTTTGGTGCTTTCCTTGGAAGTTGCTGTTTGTATTGCAGAGCTCATGTGCCTGAGAGACTGTCTGTGATTTTATTTATTTATCTTTCCTGACTCTATCAGTTGTTCCAATAAAAGACACCCCCTTTCCTTACCAGCCTGCTTTGCACTTTTGAGCTCAGGTTGTGTATCCCTTACTCTGTGCTGCTGACAAGGACTGAGGCTTCCCAACTGTGGGGTATCTGGGATGTCAGCTCTGTGCTGAGCACTGGGTTTACATGAGAGGCCACAGTGAATGTCCTTTCTATTTCGGAGAGGATCTCAACTCTCCCACCTGCTGTCTTTGATGCAGAGGAAGCATGTGAAGATCTCCCCATCTCCTTCTGCAGGGGCTGTGATGGGGGACTTTTGGGGCTTATCCCAGCTGTGGTCTGACCCTGCCCAGGCAGCTTTAGTGCTCTCTGCCCCAGTAGTGCTACACACTGCAGTGGTATCCCAAGTGATGCCCACTGGCTGTGGATGGTGCTGCTCAGAGCACTGGGGCCATACTGGTCCTTGCAGGCTGCTGTAATTCATTTTAAAGCCATGTTGTAAGGCAGCCCCATTGGGATGTTCCCTCTGACAGGAGCCAGCAAAACACATTGGACTCATTCATGTGTCACCTTGTTCTGATACAGACAGCTTTCCCAGCACTAGAGGTTCCCTGGGGTGACATCCTTTGGTCTGCAAACATTAATTGCCATTAATTGCCCTCCTCATTATTTATTAAAAAAAAAAAATAGGGCTGTGGAAGAAATAGAATTGTCACCAAGTTTGGAAAATAATGAGCATATCACCTGTGGGAGAAGTGTTTGGTAAAAACAGCCAGCACTGTAATAAGGGACAGGGTGCTTGCTGGCAATCATGCAGCATCACAGCCAGGTGGAAGGAGCAGAATGAAAATGAAGCTTCGGATGGGGCTGCAAACTTTTCAGCTTCAGAGTGTAAAGCTGGTGCTCGTTATTGGAGCTGAGAGGAATCTGTGTTTTTCTGTAGTGATTATCCTCCTGCAGAACGTGGTTGCTTCCCACCTCGTGTTGGCTGATGCGAGGATGAAGATTGGGGCTGATGGGGTCTGACACATCCATCCCCCTGCCTGAGCATGAGGTGGTGACCTGCTCCCTTACACCTGCCCATGCAGAGGGCTGCACCCACGTAACTCTGGGTCCCCCCATTTCTATGAGTGGTGTTCCTCGGGGCTGGGAGGTGCTGAGCAAGAAATACCACAAATGTACACTGAGAATGTCCTGTAGATGCAGGCTGTGTTCTGCACGGCATCTCTGAATGCATCAGTGCTTGGGTGAGTGCGTGTGCAAATATTTTACAGACAAAAATTAAGTATATATGTATATTAGGTGATGGCTTGTGATTAAATGGATCTGTTTCAATATGTGGCACGTGCGTGAAAAAACTTGCTTATGCATTTGCATGTAAAGAAAAAAATAATCAAATAGGGATGAAAACTGCCTCAGTATTCAGCCTGGGCACTGAGCTCGTTGCATACATAGGCACTGAGTGCTGCTGCCAGAGGGAATGGCACCGGGGCTGTGACACGGGCAGCACCCGGTCTGAAAGGCTCTCCAAAATGCGCTCCTTTCAGTTTCAGATCTCCCCTTTTGCCCGATGCCCGAAGCACAGACAGGAAGCAAAACATTCTTTCGTGATCCATTATCCTCCAGCAATTAAAGTTTAGGTCTGGGCACTTTCAAGTTCGAACTGCTGTGCCATTCCACCAGTGCCCAACCGGGTTTGCTGCGAGGAGGAGGAGGATGAAGACAGAAGCATGGCTCTTTTTGTGCTCCTGTCACATTTCAGGCTCCACGATCTCCTGGAATTTAAAGTTACTCCGAATGAACTCCCACCGAGAATACCATTGTAACGTTTCCATATCAGCATCTTCTTATCTTTCTGCGTTACGATGATGTCATTCGTAATTGCGCTTTCCGTTTTGATGTTTAAACAATGTGGCATCGCCCTGGAAATCGCTGCTGCTTGCTACGAAGTTCCCAAAAAAGCCCCGAATTTCCTTGGGGGATGCAACAGGCGCTCTGCTGCCAGGAGAGGCGGGTTGTTACCAATGGGAGTGTTTAAGGATTGGGGCATCAGCACCTCGCGGGAAATCTTGCTTTTCCTCTCTCTCTCTCTTTCTCTCTTTTAACTTCTATAGGACGGAGATGAACACCACCCAACCCGAAACGCCCCGAGCACTCGATCGGAGCGAAGCATCGCGGCGAAGGTAGCAGCCAATGGAAGCGGACCTGACTGGTTTTTATCGTTAATATTGCGAAGCTCGGGAAGACTTTTTGGGAGCGGGCAGAGCCATCGCTCCCTTCCGAACGAGCCGAATTTTGGCAAACGGCGCCAGGTTTCCCTCCTTCAATTTGAACACGGGATGACAAATGATGTATATATTCCACTTCTTCCCCCCCCCCCCCCCCCCCATCCTCGAAGTATCCGAGAATAAGCAATGAAAACAAAGGTAGTTTTGTATTTTAAACGGAGGAGGAGAAAACACGATACACGAGGGCTGCTCCCACGGCTCGGGGGGAAGGGGGGGGGAGTGGAAGTAGTTTCCATTCGAGTCGCCCGCACATACCGTCCCTGATCCCTCCCCGTCGGGGCCACGCGTGGCACGGAGCTGCCCGAAGGGGTAACGTTGTGGGCACTCTTAAGGGGGGAAATCCGGGGGGAAATTCCGGGGAAAGGGGCCTCCTGCAACCCCTTTTTTTGTCGCGGGTCCTCGAGAGAGGCTGCTGGGGGAGAAGCTTGTGGGACTTCACCTTGAGAAGGGGTTGGAGGGGTTTCCCCATGGGTTTCCCCCGTGCCGGGAGTTAAGAGAGGGGGAGCCCGAACCGCAGCCCCCGCTATGGGGGAATGGGGCTGAGAATTTTCCAACACATTTCTAAACGCAACGAAAAAAGCCTCTGGGACGGCGCGCGTGGCGGCAGCCAAAAAGTCACCGGCCCCGCCGGCATCGTCCAGGTGAGCGGACTCTAAACCGTGCCCCCATCTTCCTCCTCCTCCTTCTCTTCCTCCTCCTCTTCCTTCTCCTCCTCCCGGCCCCGCACGCATACGGGGAAATGAAAATCATTTATTGCGAGCGGAAAGGAGGGAAAAAAAAAAGTAAAAAAAAAAAAAAAAAAAAAAAAAGCAGGAAATAACCGAGGGTGGTTGATGATATTGTTATCATTATCGTTGTTGTTATTCTTATTACTACTCCGGGGGTAGCGAACAACCGCCAATGGCAGAGCGGGGACCGCTCCGACGGGAGCCGGAGTTGCCTCCGGGGGTCGGCGGGGGGAGCGCGGAGGTTGCGGGGCTGCGGACCGCACCGCCGGCCCGGTCCGAGCCCCCCGCCCGGCCCGCATCTCGTTTCTTCCCCCGTTAGCCATAGAGCGGCCGGAATGCTCCGCGCCGGGACAAGGGGCGACCCGAAGGGGACAGTTCGGAGCAGGTTTGTTAACCGAGCAGGTGCTCAAAACCAATAAGCCACGAACAAACGCGGCCCCCGTCGGGATTCGGAACAATTGTTTCCATTTAATAAATATTTTCCCTACGGGCGTTTGGAAGGAGGCAGGCAATTATTCAAAGCGAGCCGGGACGCGGGCCGGCTCCCGGGGTTAAGCGGGGCTGCGGAGCGGGGGAATTGGCAGCGGGGAGAGGCCTCGGCCCGGCGGAGCGCGGTGCTCTCAGCCCCGACGGCGGCGGAGAGTCTCGGGACCTCGGCACCCCCGGTCCGCACATCCCGGGGGTCCCGGTGCCTTCCCCCCACCCCGCTCCGCTCGCTGTTAGCGCGGCAACTTACAAAGCCTTCCCTTTAATCTGCGCGCTGGTGGAGGGGCGCGGGGGGGAGGGGGTCCTCCTTTCCCCTCCTTTCTTCCTCCTCCTCCTCCGCCCTCCCCTGTCCTGTCCCCTCCCCTCCTCTTCCTCTCGCCCTTCCTCTCTCCCTCTCTTTTTAAGCTGGTCCCCCTCCGCGCTGATTGGGCGCCCAGCCGCGCTGTGAACGCCCTGCCACTATGTCAGCCCGCTCGCCGCAGCCCCTCGCCTTTGAACTGCCCCGCGCCGCTCCGCGTCCCCACCGCCGGCCCGCAGCTGTGCCCGGCGGCTCGCCGCCCGCCTAGCCGCCCGCCGGGCCCCGCGGGCCGCCCCGCGTTTCCCCGCGGGCTGCACCGCACCGCTCCGCGCCTCCCCGCGCCCCGCCCCGGCGCGGCTCCCGGCGGGGACGGCGTCGGCGGAGGACTGTGATGATCAGCTGAGCCCGCGCCTGGAGCTCCTCCGGCTGCCCTGGCCGCCTCTTCTTTCTCCTCCTCCTCCTCTTCCTCCTCGCGGTGCCCGCAGAGCGCCCCGCACCGCCGCGTCCCGCCGTCCGCCCGCCCGCCCGCAGCATGTCCAAACCCAGCGACCATATCAAGCGCCCCATGAACGCCTTCATGGTTTGGTCCCGCGGCCAGCGGCGCAAGATGGCCCAGGAGAACCCCAAAATGCACAACTCGGAAATCAGCAAGCGGCTGGGAGCGGAGTGGAAGCTGCTCTCCGAAGCGGAGAAGCGGCCCTACATCGACGAGGCCAAGCGGCTGCGGGCGCAGCACATGAAGGAACACCCCGACTACAAGTACCGGCCCCGGCGCAAGCCCAAGAACCTGCTCAAAAAGGACAGGTATGTCTTCCCTTTGCCTTACCTGGGGGAAACCGATCCCTTAAAGGCCGCCGGGCTTCCCGTGGGGGCCACTGACTCGCTGCTGAGCTCCCCGGAGAAGGCCAGGGCTTTCCTGCCCCCCACCTCAGCACCTTACTCCTTACTTGACCCCAGCCAATTCAGCTCCAGCGCCATTCAGAAGATGACCGAGGTTCCTCACACCTTGGCCACCGGCACCCTGCCCTACGCCTCCACCTTGGGATACCAGAATGGGGCGTTCGGCAGCCTGAGCTGCCCCAGCCAACACACCCACACCCATCCCTCGCCGACCAACCCGGGCTACGTGGTGCCGTGTAACTGTACCGCTTGGTCGGCCTCCAGTTTGCAGCCTCCGGTTGCCTACATATTATTCCCGGGCATGACCAAGACTGGCATAGACCCCTATTCTTCAGCACACGCGACTGCTATGTAACACCCGCCCACAACCCTACGGGCGGCCCCCACCTCGGGGAGCCGACCGGACCGGGATTCTTCCGTGTGCATGTATATAAAACCCAGCCGGAGCCTCCCGAAGCCAAGACTCTGCAGCCCGGACAGCCGCGGATGCGCCCCGGGGGACGCGGAGATGCTGGGAGTTGCCCCAGGGCCCCGGGGTGGGGTTTGGGGAGGGGGGGTGGGGTGGGGTGGGGGTAGAACC